ACAGCTTCCTCAGTGCCCTCCAAGGCTATTTGCCCTTGATCTTCTCTTTGTAAGAGCTGGGGTTTGTATCTACACTCACAAGCTCTCCCCTCTCTGTTTCCTGGAAAATTCTATCCTGCTTTTTATATCTGTACCCTCTCTATAACTTTTACATCCCTTAGAAAACTGGTCCTCCTAGGAAAATGTCTTACACACACACATACACCTCAACCTGCCATTTCACCGACATCTCACACTTGAAAACTCCCCGCCTCCTCCCGATGGGAGATGGACGAGCTCCTGATGACAAGGAGGAACCTCTCACACCTAAGGAGCACCCTGAGTTCTGCAGCCTAACCTCAGCCTCCACACTGTAGCCTTGAAAGGCAGCTCTGTTTCAAGAGTCTGTTTCTGCAGAGTCTCCAAAGCCACTGAAACCCCAGCTGGGAGGGGAAGGACCCGTGCTCCCACACAGAGCCTCGGCTCGCTTCCTGACCTAATGGGAGCACTGCCTTCACTTCCTGGGCCCCCAAGGATTAGGCTGGAACACAAAAATCTTCAAGGAAGATGACCAAGTGGAGGAAACTGACTTACCACAGAGCGTCACAGTGACATCATTGCCACTGATGCACCCATCTGGAACTGGGACACAGTCAAATGAGGGAGCCAAGGGAGGGAGGGCTGCAGGTGGGCATCGGGGCAGAGTCTCTTCTGCCAGACCACACGCACCCTTAAAATGCTCTTTTTTAAAAAAGGAGAAAAGCAAGAGGGCCAGAGGGGCTTTAATAAGTTACGGAAAATAAATAAAATGGAGGGATGGTGAGAACAGGGTGAAGGCAGACTGGTGAGTAGGTCCTCTCTTGAGTCTTCATCTGCCTGCCTAGATTTTAGCTCCTCTCTGCTCACGTTCTGGGCAGGTGCCCTCACTCCACTGGATAAACAGTCCTCCATCAAGCCTTCGAATTCACCATGATTCAAGTGTTTTCCTTGGTTGAAGCCAAGGGTTCAGCCTTGGCAACGTGGGGGGTCTCTGGGATGACAAGATGTTCTCAATTAATTTCCTAGGAAATGATGCTTCTCACTGCAGTTGGGAGACAAGTCTCCCATTCCATTCCTTATAAAGTCATGTGTTTTTCTTGAATAAATGCTAAATAAAACTAGCCTTTATGTTTTCCCCCTTGATCTGCACCCCATTATTCCATAAATAAAATGAGGTCCTCAAAGTACACAGAGTGCTTTGCAGGGTGGTCCGGGGAGACAATCCACAGGCTGTGTGGTGGCCTACGACTCCACAGTCTTCTCTGGAAAGTCACACTGGCTGCCCAGCTGCCCTCTGCCGGGATGCTAGATGAGGAGGAAGCTGAGTCCAGCTGTGCCTGGTCTCCCCCATTCCTGCCAACTCCAGGAGACTGTGGAAGGAGCAGGGCCTCAGGGGGCTCCCAGACCTTCCTGATTGCCTTCTGCTCTTGGGGACTCTTTAACTTCTGTACGCTTCTCCTTTCACCTGAGAAAAAGGGAGATAACAATACCTACCTCGTAGCACTGTTAAAATAAAGGACCTGTCGTTAAGGAAATGCTCAAAAACAATCGTAACTATTACGGTTAAGTTTTTGTTATTATTAAAGTAAAACACTGCTCATTGGAGTGTTCCTGTAAGAGAGGATTTAGCTTAAATAAACTTTCGGCTTAATATCAATATAAGTCTTCCAGAAGCACCCATCTTCAGTTCTGGCCATGGTGTAGAAAACAATTCTAGATCATGTTAGAATGTAGTTGAACTTTCGAGAGGAATCAGACACCTGGATCATTTAGCACCTTTCATCGCTCTGGTCAGTCCTTCTCATTGTGTAGTTGGCTTTTCAACTGGACAGGAGTTGCAGGCAGTTGAGCTGAAGGCATATTGTCAGAACGATAAAAACAAATACAAACTGTACAAAGCAGCATGTCTTCCTGTAGTTGCCTTCTTTTTCCTAAAGGAAGGAGGTGGAGCAGAGCACAGAATGAAAACGGATGGTTTTGAAAGCTGATGGTTTCCTGTCTGCAGCTCCAGTGGATTGAGATAAAGAGGCTGTGAGATGGGGATGCCCCTTAGCAGACACTGAGACTAGCTCTCCCTAGACTTTTTTGCCTGAGTAGGCACAGGCTTTCCCGCAGGGAAAGAGGTCTTTGGTGTTGTGTCTACACTTGCTAGATGAAGTAGAGACATTTTTTAAGATAAGCTTGTAAACCCCTTCTTTCTTGTCTTCTCGTCAATCCCAAATGCAGAGAGAAATAACATAAAAACTCTCTCTCCCTCCTCTGTCCTACTCTCTCTCTTTCCCATCTGGATATAAAGTACCTATTAGGCATTAAATACTAAAAGGAAGTGGTAGGTCAGGTTAATGACATTTACTGATCACCTTTATTGATTATCTACTGCTATACAAAGAGCTCACACATATATTACTTATTTTAATCATCACGATTGCTCTGTGGGACATATTTTTAAATTCCCATTTGACACATAAGAAAACTAAAGATCAAAAAGTTAGGTGAATTGTGCAAAGTCACACAGCTTATGCAAGACAGAGCTGAATTGAACTGAGATTCTCTAAATTCAAAGCCTGTACTCTTTCCAAAGAAAGTCCACTGAATCTAGAACAGCTAATACTCATAAAATATTGTAATTGAAAGGGAGCAATTGGAGACATATCTTACTTTAAAGAGAAGGAGAAATTACACCACAGCTTGTATAGTGACACTTCCCCACTGGGTCTGAGCCTCGCCAGCCCCGCCCCAAGGAGATCTCTGCGGTTGGCTAACCTCTGCTACTCTGACCAGAAATGCGTGTTTGTGGGAGGAGAAATGTTAATACGTGGGAGGGGAAATGCTAATATGTGGGAGGAGTGCAACAGGACTGCATGAAATGTGCTACTCGGGCTTTGGAGATGCATAACATAGAGAAGGACGCAGTGGCCTATGTGAAGGAATTTGACGAGAAGTACAACCCTACCTTGACAACACATCATGGGGAGGAACTTCGGTAGTTACATGACACATGAAACCACTTTCTCTACTTCTACCTTGGCCAAGTGGCCATTCTTCTGTTCAAATCTCGCTAAAAGCAGGGACTGTACTGCATACCCAGTGATGCATCCAAAAATGAAGACTGCAGCCTAAATCCCAAATACCAGAGACTGAAATCTTCAGCCTTGCCTAGAGGAACACCTTGATCTTGAACTTTCACTGTGTTGTTTTGTACAGGGCATTCTCTGTACTCACTTGGGGTTATACCACAATTAGCAAAACAGCTTACATTTGTATTTATCTTCTATTCCCTATCTCTCTGCCCCATGCTTTTACTCCTCAAAATTCATTCCTTCCCCCAAAATAAATCATCTGGAGAAAAATATAAAATAAAAAATAAAAAGGAGGAAACTGAAGTCCAGAGAGGCAAAATCATTTGCTTAAGATCACACACCTCATTAGCAGCAAAGCCAAGTGTAGAATCCAGGATTCTTTCCACTATTCCTTGCTGACCCTGAAGAATAAGTTCTCAGAATAAACACTAAGGTGCTCCTCTTGTTCAACATGAAAGTAAAGCATTTATTTTTTCCTTTATTTCTCTGACTTGGATCTTGTCATGAAATGTATCAGTGGTGATGGACATGATGTTTCTAAAAGGACTGGCTGCTATAAATGCACCAAGAACAATTGATGGAGACTCTGGTCTCCGAGCTCCGGATTCCTCTGGGAGCATCAGACCTGACTCACACCTCTCCTGTGTCAGTAGGACTCTCACATGAGGGCATGGGAAGCAACTACATATCTCTGTTTTAAAAATCAGTTGTGTTCTATTTAAATTGTTCAAATATGAGAAAGAACCAATTGAACATCACTGCAACAGTACCATATTTGAAAAGAAAGTGTTAAGGTGTCGGTAAGAATTGTGAAAATACATTTTAAAAAACTCTGTGTTAATGTTTCTACACACATTCCCGTCTCTGTGAGAGCTTTGTCTTGCATTTCCATGCCAGCTCCTGGGCATAATTTGCATCGGGGTGAGAGTCAAAGGCAGTGGAGTTAGATGCCTAACCCTGGACCCACCATTTGCTGGCAAATTTCTTCAACTCCTAATCCTCAACTTTTCATCTACTAATTGGAGGGTGGTAAGAATTATGAAAGAGACTACTAGTTCTCTTCCCAATTACCATGCTCAGGCCAATAGATCCTGATTTTATTTGGAACGTCAACACATCTGCTGAAGGAGTTTATGTCTGGTCTTCCTTGCTACTTTGAATAGAAAATGAGATGTAGGTGGAAGTCATCACGTCAAGGTTCCGAAATTCCTCTAAAACAGAATTACTTATCTGAAAGGTGTTCCCTTTCCCTGTACCCTCAATTCCTCATTTTTTTCTGTCTAGAACTCAGGTAAGGCATCTGGAACTCTGGCAGCCACCTTGGACCACAAGAATCCAAGCCCTGCAGAAAAGGGGAGAGGGGCGAAGGACAAAAGGAGCCTGGGTCATTGATGTCCAAACGACACCATGCCAGCCCCATGGGTTGGCACCCACCTCTGGGTTTCTCTTACATAGAGGAAAAGTAAGTGTTTGTTTTAATGTATTTGAAATATTTAGAAGCAACTATCATATACAGTCAAATCTAATGCCGATTGAAGTATCAACATCAACAATCTTATAATAAGTCAATAAGATAACTCATATAAAACCTGTAGGACCTGGCATTTAGAAAGTACTCAATACCTTTTAGTTGCTGCTACTGCTATTATTAGTACTGTTAACTTCTATGATTAGTACTACACCAATAGTTTCATGCCTTATCTTCCCCATGCTTCCCATGAAAGTTCCTTGAGAGCAGACCATGTATTTTACTACTGTTTGTAGGCCTGCCACTGTGCCCTGCACATAATTTTCTAAGGGTATCTTCTACTTAAAGGAAAAGTAATTTTAAGTTTTTTTAGTTAAATCTGCTAAGTAGAACCAAGTTTATACAAAGGTCTATACAGAAGGTATCCAGCTGACTACTATGAAAAATAGAGACATTTACTGAAGAAGATACAAGATACAAGAAACATTGTACATAGGACAATGACACCTCAGTCCCCTTCATAGCTGGCACCTTGGGACCTCACACAGTTCTCAGGTCTTTGTTGACTGCAGACGATGCATGTTCAACATTCTCGGGTGCTCCGCTTGTTCCAGGCCTTTCAGAACAGGGATCACTTTCAACAGATTCTCAACCATTTTGAAGCGTTTGTGCCACATTTTTATTTGCGCTGCACTCATTGCGTTTTTCGTGAAAGCCTTCTGAATCATGGAAATAGTTTCTGTGGAGGAATGTTCAAGCTTAATGCAAAATCGGATGCAGATTCGTTGCTGTGCTCGTTCAGTCATTTTGAATGAGACAGCCACACAGTACACATCCTCACTGAACAGCATCTGCTGCCCCACTGACTAGTACAGTGAAGTCGTCACTGTTCACACACGCACATTCCAGTCCACTCTCCTTGGCTGCCAGGTTACACTGACATCGAGCAAACTATTATCATTGTATTAACAATGGCTGGACTTTTTCTGGACAGATCTCATAAATCATTCATAATAAAACCAATTTTTACATAGATTTTGTATTTGCTAATTCTTGTTTTAAAGTATGTATTATGTTACTTATGTTGTGAGTTAGCAACCAGTTTTATAAAGGTGTATTGTTAATAAAACTTTATCTTTTTTACAGGAAAAAATGTGCAAAAAACCATGGAAAGCCTGGCACTGGGCCGAAAAACCACCTGCCACGCCCTATCACCAACCTTTAGGCGTCTCATCTTATTATTATTAAATTTATTATTGGGCCTATCCTTTATTGAGTACTTACTATGAACTGGGTACCAGGCTAAGCACTTTTGTTGCTGATGGAAATGGGGTACGTCCACAGGGTCAGGAGAAAAGCATTCCCCGGACCCACGTGTGGGAGGATGAGGTGTAGCGGTAACATTTCATTGAGGCCGGAGCATGAAGCTGGAGCAAATACAAAGGGACTGTCCCAGGTGCCTGGTGTCTGTGTCTCATCCACGCCAGGTGGTTCTGCTCCAACCCACGGTAGGAGATGTCCAGCCTTTCATCACCAAGCCCAGAAGGGCTGGAGTCCAGATCCTCCAGTTTAGTCCACGCCAAAGCCTAGTTTAGTCCACGCCAAAGCCTAGTCCCCATCCGACTAGCTTAGTCTCTGTTCCTGGCTGGTGCTGCGCTGCTGTACCCGGGCTCACGCCTGGGGCCTACTCTGGGAGCAGTGCGTGGGCCTGCGTGGCTCCCAGAAAAGAACGTGGAAGGAACAGAAAACACACACAAACAAAAAAACGCTTCCCTAGAAAAATGCCTTTGTGAAGCTTTGACTATGTTATCCTGAGTTTTCAAACTGAACAATATCTTCTTCAGTCCTTTGTAGGTTTGTGCTGGACCCTGCCACAAACCAGTCAATTTCCTGTGTCTTCCAAGGTCCTGCGTCCCTTATCCACCTGATCCTCCCCCCAGGCTAAGACTCCTCTCTTTCTACGCCATCATCTGGGCTCCCGCTGTGCCTGCCTCATAGTAGGGAAACCTACCTGGCCTGAATTAGTCGCTAACATCAGTCTTGTGGGAGAGCTACTGCTACCTCCACCACTTTTTGTAGACTTAGGATCTAGAAAGAAATTTTCTAATGAGCGTTAGTTTTTCAAGCTCAAGCCAAATTACAGAAAATGTTTCTTAAGATATTTGATCCTATAGAAAGCTCACAGTTTTGTTTTATCCTAGGTTTATTTTTTTCAAAGACTCATTTAGAGGATAAACAAAGTCGTAAAAAGAGAGAAGAAAGCGTAATTATTCATTTCTCTTTTCCTCTGAAGTAACCTCCATTTAAAAAAAATTATGTTCTTGATCACCAGTTAGAAACAAACCAAGTTTGAATTGAGAAAGTCTTTTAAAAAATACCTTTCAAAATGAAATTTAAAAATACTTCCCTTCCTCCCCCTCCCCCTCTCTTTATATATTTTTTTACAGGATCTTCACTTCCTAGACCTGCCTGGCCTTCCCAGCCCACCTATCAGTATGAAACCCTCTTACCCACCCTCTTAACCCACACTCATATTTCATACCTGATTCTTCCCGTATTTCTAATTCATAAATGCTTTGTCTCTCATCCTCGTTCTGTATGTTGATTCCTGTGCAATAAGTTTGAAGGAAGACTACTGGTTTTTTTATGTCAAGTTAAACTCATAGAAATAAGAGGGAGCCCTGCTTTAGCTCCCCGACCTTGCCATTCATTTGTTTAGGAGTAGTGAGAACCAGCTAATTCCACAAGAGCTGCTCTGTGGACCTATTCTACGAACTCATTTGGTTCAACCAGGGATTGTTTTTTAAAGCCACATTGAAATCAAAGTGTTTTCCCAGGCTCTTGGAGTGCCCGGGTCAAGAATGCTGACAATCTGCTGTCGGAGAGAGGCCGTCAGCTTCACCCCCTATCAAGCGCTCCCCGTCACCACTTGCATAAGAACAAGCAGGCGACCCGCTGCCTTGTGACAAGCACTGTGACTCTGGAGGGAGCCAAGTGCTGTGAATGAAGCCCTGTAAAAGGTCATTTTATGTAAGAGGAAATAATGGCGTCACTCAGGGGGCATACATAATTTTGAATGAAAAACCTGTCTCCAGGATGCTGGAGTACATGTACTTACCAGGGAGGGACCCCCCTCTCTTTTCTCCCCTCTCCTCTCAGGAAAAGCTACGAGTTCTGAAATCTCCTCCAAGCTGTGGTTATTGCATGTCCCACAGAGGTTATAAACTGATACTTACTATTGAATTTTGAGCTTTGTGGATTAGCTTCACCTAGTTTCCTGGAGGGGAAGCAAGAAGTTGGGCCACCTTCCAACCCCGTGGTCGTCCACTGCACACCCCTTCCTCAGGGAATACTTCTCCCGGCACCTACCCAGAGAGGTGAGAAAAGGCCGTCAGCTACCTCCTCCAACAACTGTACAAACATTCGAATCACTTCAACATTTTTTCAGCTCCAGAGATAATTTCAAGACCATGGGGTTGAGGTGGGGGGTAGCTGGTAACACCGGATACATTCCATGAGTATTTTAGGAGTCATGTGATACAATAAATTCCAAACAGCTTTTTAATCCAGTTCCCAAATAAATAATTCAATTAATTTTTGAAAAGGACATATTCTAAAGACCACATTTGAAAATATGCTTTTTTTCAAAATACATACCTGCTTTCATTTGTGAATTTTCTGCTCACTTAAGTTTTTGTGAAACCGCATGGATGATATTTGGAAAGTCTAAGTGAGAACTCACTTTTCAAAACTGTAGAATTCAAGTTTACTTTTAATATGTATAAACCCCTTAAGGCAGCTTACATAATTTAAATAAAATTTATCCTTTTGGCAGGGGGCAGGGTGTGACGACTGAAAGCTTCAGGTGATTATTTGCCAGACTGACAGCACCTTGAGTTTACATAAATTATCTCCCAAGCTGTAAAACTAGTGGCTCAATGGATAGAGTGCTAATTAACAATCAAGGAGGCTGGGTTAGGTTTAACATCCTGTCTTTGACTAATTGGCCGTGACCATGGGTGGCTTACTGGCCCCTCCTGGGTTCATTTTCTTCCTCTGCAAAAAGAGGAGGGATGAATGAGACTTTGTCTAAACTTCTAAAATACCATTTGCACTCTGGTTTCACACTCACCATTTACGCAGACAGAGGAGCAGTATTTTTGCCTACTCTTTTACACAAGGCACGCACAAACTTGGGTCCACCCGTGGGAGACAGCCATGCAACACAGGTCAGGTCTTCTAGTAGCTACCTGGTGCTTTTTATAGGCTTCCGATGTTTAATTAAAATTTCTTGCAATAATTACAATTATTCCATTGTGAGCCAGGGCATTGTGGCAAGGGTCAGATTCACCCTCGTATCTTCAACCACAACTCAGGTACTAGTAGGTACCTTAAGAGTCTCCTTTGCTGTCAGAAACTAAAAGAGGAAATTCATAAATTATTCTGCCACTGAGACTGGAGCCATTGCCTCCAGTGGTGGTGTTGAAACAGGGCAACAGGCCATTACAAAGGGACTTGGCACAACCACAGACCACTCCTTTGTAACAGGGGTTTAGCAGGCTGGGGCCAACCCTCAAAGCAGGATGCTCACAGCTCTGGGGAAGCCCGCTCTGCCCTGGGCTGTTTCAAACCCTTCAGATGTCAGGCTCTGCAACAAAAACTGGCCAATTCACCTTCACCAGCCATGAAAGGTACTAGCAAGAAAAGTGAATATATAAATGCGCACACACAGATGGACGTATTGAGGATTACTTAGAAGGATCATTAATGGCAGGATGTTTACAAACTGTAGCCAAGCTTTGTAGAAGTAGACATTTTTTTTCCACAGCTAAATAGTAGAAAGAGAATATGCCTAAAACTCTTTCCAGTTTGGCTCCTTTAACTGTGATTAGTCACAAAGCCAGGCTGCTCTTTTGAGGTGATGAGTCAGCCCTGACAGAGTGAGCCACGCCGCTCAGTAAAATTTGCTCCAGCCAAGTACCAAATACTTGCAAAATAACTGAACTGTTGGCTTCAGGAGGAACTGAACTGTACATGAGCTGTCAGCTTCGAGAGAAAGCCAGTGAAGGAACATGACTTAATTAAAACTTCGAAACTCCGCAAGAGTCATTTCCTGTTTCTTTCTATACAATAGCTAAATACTCATTTTTTTTTTTTTTTTTCAGTTACTTGGGAAGTTTGGGATGTCTGGTCTTACAGGACCAGATTGCTCACGTTTGCTCACTCTGCTGTGAACGACTTTGGCAGGGTTCGAGGGTCTGCAACATGACTAACTGACTCTTTTTTCAGGTTTTCATTTCCAGAGTCCAGCTGAACATCAAATGCTTCAGGTGAATGCCCAGGCAGGGAGCAATCACTCCCACAACCACCGTGTCTCAGCAGTTAATTCTGACTCTGCCTTGAGGTGTAGCAAAGTGCAGCTCTCTGGCCTCAGGTTCTAAAAATCACCGCAAGATAAAAGATAAAGTGAGATTCAGGGAACTCTCAGACCAAGGAGCTGTGCCTGCATCAGCAGTGCACTCCGCTCTCTGAAGTCCTCTGACCCCACCTACTCTCTTTCATAACCAGACTCACTGTGTACGCGAGAAAGACCAGGGCTCTAGAACCCCCACCCCACGGTGTCCATGTGCCTGTGTGCTGAGGGTTTCCAACAAGGCATTTCAGAAAGAAACAAAGCAGGGAAGAACACCTTGATTGACAGATTCATGTGATCCGTGAGTTCATTTTTCAGGTTTTCCTATGCCAATTAGGCTAGACAATTGCAATGCTGTGTTCCTAGGATTCCTTCCACTTTAATATAAATATAAATGTGGCATCAGTTTGACAAAAAAACTAGGAATTACTTACTGTTATTTTCAGTTGCAAAAATACCCTGTTCTTAAATCCAAATAATTTGAATTGAAACACACATTATATGTACTATATGAATGTGTAATATCTATATCTGTATAGGTATTATGGAAATATAAATATCTAATCCCTCTTAAAATTGTCTCTAGAGAATAATAGTATTTTCATTTGCACAGTGCTTCACTAGAAGTGAAGTGGCTGAGCAGTGGCTCTGGGGCTCACCCTCCTGCAGATTTCACACCGCTTCCCGGTGCACCCACGCTAGCTCCTCGGGCCTGGTGGGGCTCTCAGTCCCACTCACAAGTGAGTAGACCGAGGCTCACAGACAGTGAACAGACTGCCTGCTATCACAAGACTAATCAGAGTCAGAAGCAGAGTCTAAGCCCATCCTTGCTGTTTCCAATATAGTGTATGCATGAATTACTGCAGCAGTATTGATAAGAGCATAAACACAGAAACTCACTGGATGACAATAGATGAAGGAATGAATATATCGACTCAGTAGGCTATTGTGCTTTCATTAAAATTATGACTTTAGATAGTAATCACAAAGGTGATAGCTACAGTGTATTGAATGCTTACTTGTGACAGGAAGAGCAAGAGCCTCTTTACATGAACCGATTTTGAGTTCACAACTCCACGAGACAGTTGCCATCGTTGTCTGCGTATGGCACGTGAAAACCAAAGCTAAAATAGATTAAATCGTGTGCCCAAGAGAACTCAGCTAAAAAGAACAAGCTTATCTGACTCTAATCAGATTTCTCAATCTCAGCACTATTAACATTTGGGGCTGAATAATTCTTTGATGTAAGGGACTGTCCTGTGATTTGTAGGATATTTAGCAGCATCTCTGACCTATATCACTAGCTGTGAAAATGAAAAATGTCTCCAACTTATCAAATGTCTCCTGAGGGACGCGAGTGTTCCAGGCTGAGAGCCATACTCTAAAGCATAGACTTCATCACTGTCCTATCACCTCCTTCCAACACCACCAGCCTTCCCACAGAAACATTTTTTTTTTCGTACCGACCTAGTCATAGACAGAATTCTCCAAGAAACAAGATCTGAGACTCCGGGCTTTGATTGTAGAAAGTTTAGGTGGGAAGAGGGTGAGAGAGGGCAGTGTTCTTGAGAGCCTCACCTGTGAGGAAGCAAGGGAAGCAGACCTGGGCAGAGGGACGGCTGCAAGGCCAGCCCATTATTGAGACAGGCCCCAGCCTGTTCTGCAGGGAGCTCGGGAGCTGGGATGGCCCTTTACAGTGGTCCTAACGGAGGGGCCTGGTCTTTAACCACGCCCCAGATGGATCCAGACCAATCACTGGACGTGGATTACCAGGAAGGGGGTGCGTCCTAGGGCAATATGATTCTCCCTGAGACAAGACTGAGGACAATTCTGAGAAAAGGACTCACTGAGAGCAGGACAGCCACCAGCAATACCACACCTACGGACAGAGTGCCTCCGCTCTATTAAGAAATAAAATGTGTGTGTGTGTGTGTGTGTGTGTGTGTAAAATAAGTTTATGATGAAACAATCAAAATACTTATTATTTCATTATAACTCAAAATGCATAAGCATATGAACTAAGACTGGAAATTAATAAGCAAATGAAAGAGTAACACTATAAATCATTTTTTTTTATCTTTTTCAAAGTTGAATGCAAGGATGTTGCTATCATACTGCTCTGACCATTTAAAGAAGGGCTGAGATCTCAGAAAATACAACTCATAGCTTTAAAACACCATATATTACATATTCGTGTGGCCAAGCCATTTTATGTGCCCTAAAACACAGGACTTCCAAGCACTCTTATATTATGTACTAACTTATTAAATCTTCTCAATGACCCTAAGGTAGATACTGTCATCAACTACATTTTATGGAGAAGAAAATTGAATTTCCACAAGGTTATGTAACTTAATATCTGCATGGCTGGTGAGGGATGGACCTGGAGCCTGAACCCATGTCCTCTCAGGCTCAGATCCTGGCTGTCACCCTCCGCGCTTTGTCACCTGCTGCAAACCTCACGTGGCACTGGACCCCTGAAGTCCCCTCACAATGGCAGTAATCTGTCTTCTCAGATTTCATTTCTTCTTTAAAAAAAACAAAGATATTGCCTAAAACAGTAGAGTAATAAAGCTGACAATGTAAGACTATGCTAAGGGATAAAAAACTGCCTTTGAATTTTCTATTTTAAACCTTTTGAGATTTAAAGGCTTTTTTTTTGAGATTTAAAGGTTTTTAATGCCAATGGAGATTTTAAAAGGTATGCTATTTTCCTTTAAAGGATCAAGTCTCTCTTTTGCTCTCAACATAAAACAGGAAGCTTTAGAAATATCTGCTTTAAGAATGATTCTCTTAAAGTCAAGGCTTTACCCTCTCAAGAGACCCAGAAGGACTAGACCACAGGTGGGGAACATAAGTCCCACAGGCCAAATCCTGCTCTCCACCTTGTTTTACCCTTATTTCTACCCCGGGGCAACTGTTAAAGAGTAGTTACATTTATACAGTCCTACAATAACATTCGGCCCTTTGAAGGCACCCGTGAGGCTGACGTGGCCCCCGGTGAAAATGAGTCCGATGCCCCTGGCGGAGGCTCTGCTGGGACTCAAGAGGGAGTTGCCTTCACGCCAGTTACTAAACACCATTTCTCATGCTCTGGGGCATCGTAGAAAATTCAGCTCAAATTCATTAGCATGAGGTAATTATTTCACCAAAAGATCTGAGTGAATTTTTTATGCCATATTCAAGAGGCCCAGGTAATGTTTTTAAAAATAAATTTCCAACCTCAAAAATTATGTTTTTTTTTTCCCAGAATGGCCACAGGCCTTACAAGAGAGAAACCCTCCAGAACCCTCTCTCCCACCGGCCGCTGGTGCCCCTGCCCGGGGACAAGGCTTTCACAAGGTCCGCAGATCGGTCATCTCAGTCGGTACTTTATTGGAAATGGAATGCATTTTTAAAATATGAAAAATATATCACAGCTATCCAAATCATCTAAGAGGCATATTTACACAAATCATGACCACACGTTAAGTCCACCAATGTGATAGTAAAGTATTTGGTACATGGTGATACTTGTCTTTCAGAAGCTGGCATTCGAATATTCTGAAACTAAGCAGAAAGCTGACAGTGCAATGTAACAATCATTTTATCTTTCTTCTCAAAATTAATACAGTAATTTGGGAGAACCACCTATTATTAAGATCCTCTTCCTCACTATTCAGCTGATCCCTAGCAGACCCAGCTTCAGAGCAGAAAGGAGCAGGCGAGCAGGCCTCTCTAGCTCTTCTTACAGAGATGCTTCCACAGATTCAGAGTCCTGCTTCCTTCACCGGACAGTAATGCCCTTTCAAAGAAAACCCTTTTGGGTCCTATACTCTGTTTGGCAGGTACCCTGCTGTCATCCAATGCTCTGCACATCTCAATGGGCTATATAAAATGCGGATCAAAAAAGTCACCCTTCAAATTATGTCTAAGTTTTAGAAAGTAGTTCTTAAAAACCCACCCAACACAAATTCACAATTAGTATATCTTAGTTTGCTTTTGGTAAATTGGAATATTTCTCTAGAAAGAATCCCTGATGGCTTCAATGCCAAGCTCTATCATTTTCAAATTGAAAGTTCATTCTGCTGAGAGCATTTTATTGGTAGAGCAAAAAAAAGTTTGTTTAAGGAAAAAGAGAAGAATAATGCTCACAAGCCCTTCCTCACCTACAAAACTCTGTGTTTGAGGGGATTTTTTTTAGTTCCACTCCAGTCTTAGACCCTCTTCTAAACCTACCATAGAACATGACATTGTAAACACTTGGAGACAAGCCAGAAAGAAAACAAGTGATGTGTTTGAACTTCCACACTGGCAACAACAAATTTGTAGTGTCAGATTTAAAATGAGAAATCTTTAAGAGAAATAGGTAGACGAGGGCAGACAAAGAGTTAAATAAGAGACCTTTGAACTTAACCAGACTTCCTAACAGTGTTTACACAAGAGGGAAACTCTTTTAAGCAGCAAGTTGGGTTTTCTACCTCCAAGTGAAAAAAACATCAAGTGAAATTATAAAGTTGGTTTGATTTCTCTCTGAGCGAAATCCAGCTTCCTCTATGAGGGCAATGTTTGAAAGGGCCCTTTATAGCCATTTAGTTTCTGACCTCAGCACTCCCTGCAGGGCCTATGCAGATGTGTGATTTCCGCTAAGAAAGTACGGAGGTGTGTCATGCTGGGAAGCCCTTCCCAGTAATAGCTGTTCTCAGGGAACGACAGGAAGGCAAAAGAAGTACAGTGTGAGGCAAGAGAAACCACCTCCTGGGCGCTGGGAAGTCACACATGGTTTCCTCTTTCATTCATTTGTCCCAACAAATAGTTAATTGAGCTCACTGTATACAAAGCTTGGTGCCAACATAAGTTCAAGGACAAAAGTTCAGGTGGCACATTCCTTTTAATTTTCCAACTTTTTACATTTTGTGTTTATTTAAGGAGTGGGTTTTCTGTTGGACCTGCCCTTTCCTTCTTTTTCTTGAGTTGAAAGAAGTGCTTTTATCTTTTTTCATGGAGGTGATTGGTTAGGATTTCTAATACCTTAGGTGGCGTATACCATTTTTTTATGGGTAAAATAGAACCACTGACACATTAAATGATATCCATTTGTATTTTGTTGCGTGTATTGTTTCCTTGTTCTGGAAGAATTATTCAACCATAATAATTTCAAAGTTGTCAAAACACAGGAACCATCCCATTCCTCTCCTTTCTCATTTCTAAGGTTTCACAATTAAAAGCTAAGAGACCTTCAAACTAGAGAGCCCACTAACAGGGTCAATTCAACATAAATACCGCAGTAGACCAAGACTGTGGAGAGACAGAACAAGGGACCATGATTCTGGTGACCCCACTAAGAAGCACAGACATTGTGGGGAAAAAAAACTTCCACCAGCCAGTACTTAGCCTATGTATAAGCTAACAACCTACAAGAACCTTAATTTTAAAAGTACTTGGTGTAAGTTTTACCTTTTTTATAGCAATGAATTTGAAAGAAAAATCCTTCTATCTGGAAAAAAGCCATGGCTTAATGGGGGTTGTATATCCTACACATATGAAACCTTGAGCACAGTGAGGCATTATCTAAAAAGTACAGCGGTGGTTCCAAAGAAGCTGAACCAAACTTGCCTCAGCGCTGCAGATTTGGCTAAGCTGCCTATCCTATTTACATACACACATACATATGTGATTTTTCGAAATCTTTGCAGCATGTGTTCACAACCATAACCTAAATAGCCACTGGAAGGAGAAGTCCACTTAAGTTCTGCTTGTCATTTTCTCAAGTTTTCATGGGCCCTTGCCACTTTTTGGATTAGTTATGAGCTCAAAATGTCATCATTGCACTAAAAAATAATTTGACCCCAATACCCCTTTTCCAGATGAAGGAGTAGCTCTAACATAAAATTCTGTTTTCATTTCTTGACTACATTAACTTAGCATGGGCCTAACACTGACCTGCCCAATATGGATGCTGAAAAATTACTGATCCAGATTTCGTGAAAAAGATCATGGAAAACAGGGACCCATGAGTAAAGCCGTGCAGACAGGAAGTGATTTTCAGCCCCTGGTGGATTTTGTATCATCTACAGCACATTTTAAACTCAAGTAGCATCTGCCCTTGTGGATGTTGACCATCCTTTTGACTTAACACAGAAGAGGGTTTGTTTTACCTTTAAAGGCACATCCCCCCATGCCCAACGCCTCTTGAACAAGTGGCTGCTAAAACAAGACTGGGGTTGTTGCCCTACTGAAAATCCAGTGTTTATCCACTCCTTTCTTTTTCAATTTCTGAGTTTAGTTAACCTAACTACAAAACACATAACCAATTTTTCCACAGAGCAATAGAAAGTAAAACAGTTGGTTTCTCTGATCAACATTATTTTCAGTAAGAAAACAAAAAGTTATGACTCTTAGTCCTTTGAAATAAGTACAAACTGTCATTTTAAACTCTAAGATTCTAGGGTGTGCTTCTAGAATAAAGTATGAAAATGCGGTTCCAGTAAAGTGCACACAGTCCTTGAAGAAGGGTAATCTCTACTGTGGACAGAACACAAAAATGTTCTCTCAAACAAGGTGAATGATTCCCTTTTCCTTCATTATGCTTTTTGAAATGAAACACCAAATGCATTTATACTCAGCAACCAAAGAAACGTCCTTATTAAACCCTTCACAGATAATGTAAGTGAGGTTCTGTCCCTACAATAGACCCAGCCCTACCACACGTTCAAGATCACCTTGTCATCAGTTGGGTTATGTTTTAAGTATTTCGAATTAGACATCATTACTACTCATTTTTTTTTTTTAGAAAAACATTTAGATTTTCATAATTACACAATTTTGAACATTTATCTTCTTTAAACTTCTACACAACAGATACATCTAAGGGGAAGAAATCTCAAAAAAGGTTATATCACAGAGTTTAATTTCAACCACCTGGCATAACAATAGAAGTGTCAGACGCTCTGAAAATGCCCTAGGAATAATGAATTAATGAATTCTTAGTGTTTTCCCCTACTCCGCCCTTTCTTCTTTTCCAAGATTAGAACTTACTAGGGAATAGGTTTTTGAAAATAAAATTCCTTTTTGGGGAAATGGCCTACATTCAGAAATGTCTTAGAACAAGTATTTTTTAAAAAACTAATAAATAATCATAAATCAAAATACATTAAAATAAAATTACAGTACATCATTACTCCTAGAAGGTCCACCATAGTGGAATATCCTTTCAAAGGTTCATAAATAAAGCCTTCTGGACTTGAAATCATTTCCTGCATTGTGATGAAGAAGAGTATGCAGAAAACTGAAGAGGAATCCCAAGTTATCAGTCTGGTAATGTCCAAACTACTTGATCTGGTGCGGAGCAGAGAGATTTGTTTTCGATCCAAGTGGAGACAATGGAAAGGTGCTCGTCTCACTTCCTCAAGTCCTCAAAACCTGGAAAGAAAGGGCACGAAATGAAGTAGGTGGCTCAGATGCCTCCAAGACCCAGTTCTCTTCGGGCCAGTCAGTCAGACAAAGCGTGCTCGTTAAGACACTGAGGTCACTCTCTCAAGTGCTCAGACACCGAAAGGACCAGCGGGTGCACACCACCGAACACGGGGGGGCCAGGGTGGGCGGGGTGGCAGTGCGCGAGGCCCCCCAGCCTGGCCCGAGTTCCCCACCCTCCCCGCTCTGCCCGGCATCTCCTGGCTCCGGCTTGCTTCTCCTCTTTTCACCTACCCAGAAACTTGTTATAACTTCTCATTTTTTTCCACCCAAGAGTCAAACCGGTGAACAAGCTTCCTACTCCTAACAGCCCCAAGCCCCAATCCGCCCCAATGCTCGAGTGGCCCTCGGTAGCCAGAGGCGACGGGACCTTACCTTGTCATCTTTTCTTGCCCGGGTGCTGCCCCCTTCAGGCAGAGTTGGAGGTGCTGCGGAGAAGTCGGTGGCCGTGAGGCTGCGAGAGCGGTTGTTGGTGTGGGTGCGGTAGTTGATGCGGGTGCGGATGCGGGTGCGGATGCGGGTGAGAGTGTGGATGCGCATACGGGTGGAGCGGCTGAGGCTTGGGTTGGGGCTGCGGCTGGGGCTGGGGCTGGGGTTGGGGCTGCGGCTGGGGCTGGGGCTGGGGTTGGGGCTGAAGCTGTGGCTGCGGGGGCTGCTGCTGGACAAGGTGCTGCTGCTTCTGCCGCGTGGACTTGACCGCCAGGATTGCCTGACGATTCTTGTACTGCACCATCTGCAGCGTGATCTCGGCGTTCCAGCCCTGGTCCTGCGGGCACCGAAAGTCGATCTCCTTGCCCTCGGCCATCACCACAGTGAAGTACATATACTTGCCCTTGCGCTCTACGCAGTCCACGGTCTTCATGTTGGAAAAGTGTAATTCCTTGAGCTTGACCGGCGGCTCCAGGCCGGCCACGGCAGGGCCTCCGGGTTGGGACTGTTCCGCTGGCCCCTGCCCAGGCTGTTGCTGTGGCTGGTGGTGTTGGTGTTGAAGCTGCTTGGGCGGAATGAGCAACAGCCCCTCCTCAGTGAGGATGCAGCACTTTTTCTTCCAGAGCTGCAGCAACCCATCGCTTCGCTTCTCCAACACACCCTCTTTCAGCGCCTTGCAACCGCTGCTTTCCAACATCTTTCCGGCATAGGGGGAGACGCCGCTCGGCTCGGCCTCTCCACTTCCAGCCGCCCGGGCTGGGGGCAGCAGCAGCAGATGCGCTCCGTCCTCGCCCCAGCGGTTTCCGCAGCCGCCCGCCCGGAGAGCGCAGAGCAGGCTGACACGCAGGAAGCAGAGCGGCGGCGCCTCGGGGCCCGGGCAGAGGGGCAGCCGCGTCCTGATGCGCCACCAGGTCCGGGAGCTGCGAGCCTCCGGGCCTTTGCCGTCCTCTTGCGAGCGCTCACTGAAGGGCACTGGCCGGGCCCCCTCACGACGCTTTTGAATGGGCCATCCCCTCCACCCCCGAGTGACACCCAGCGGAAAAGGCGGCTCTTGGCGCCCGCACCGCGGGGAAAAGCCCAACTCCGAGAGGCGCTCCGCCGCCGGCGCACGCCTCATTAACTTGGGGCCTTTCCGAAGCCGGCCGCGTCCCCGCCCCCAGCGTCGCTCGCTCCGCCTCCCGCCGCCCACAGCCTCCTGCGCTCCGTCCGGGGACGGCTGCGGAGATGTGAGCGCTGGAAACTTCTCTCCTCCGCCAGGGGCGATAAGTGAGGATGTCCTAGCTGCCCAACGACCAGTGCTGACGCCCAGAGGGCGCGGAGTGGCTGTCCCCACCGCCCCGGCTCTCCCCGGCGGCGGGGCAGTCGGCTCGCAGCCTCAGAAAATGAAGATGGGGCCGCGAGGTGGGCGCTGCTACCGGACTGTGCACGAACGCTCCCTCCCTCTCCGCCCTCGGGAACCAACCCAGGGGACTCGCGCTGCGCTTGCGAATCCCGCAGCGCCAGTGCCCTGACCTGGGCGCGCGAGGAGGCTGGGGATGAGGCTGGTGGCCCGTGGAGTCCCGCGGAAGTGTGCCCTCCCCGGATGCTGTGTAAACACCTCGGTGCATAAAGGCCACGAGGATTCGGTGTCTTGACACTCGTCTGCGCTCAGGGTCCTTGACTGGGTCTTCTTGGAACGGAAAGGGCGATTGTTAAGGCAATAGCGCTCCCGTCTGTCCCGTTTGGAAGGGGTAGAGGAAGGTGACCCACTTCAGGTGCACCTTCTCTCGACCCGGAGCGCAGGCACTATCTTCGCACAAGCTCTCCTGCCTCCCCCTAGATCCATCAGTAGAGTCTGCAACATCTCACAACAGAAAATTAACTCGAACTACAAATCCAGGGTGTCCTGTGCTGAGAGAATCCCCACTCAAGGCATAGTTTCCTTAGCCCTTCAAAGGGCAGTTTGGGCTCCGTGGGTCACTCTATTTAAAAATGCCTACTGGGCCAGATCTCTAGTTTGTAATCTTATTTATCTGTGACGTGGGAAAGGTAACGCTGAACTTGCCCCTAGCTCTCTCCTCCTCCCACATTCAGTTTCTATAGAAATTCTGAGCATAAGCAGTAAAGAGCATAACCTGAAATCAAACGTGCTGGTGGGGAAATTCGTCCACTAAGTAAACAGAGGACCCCAACTATGTACCGACTTTGAGGGTATGAGGAAGAATCACACGAAGAAGAAATAAACCAGGGGTGTGGACAAGTCAGAGCTGGACAAGGTAAGAAAGAAGAAAGGCTGCGTGCCGCCTGTGCCACGAAAGGAGAGTTTAGTTCACCTGCAAATTTCTTGCCCCTGGAACAAAGAACTCAATACGGGAAGAAGTGAAAGATGACCTTGGAGAGCTGAGCAAGAGTCGAATCCTTTGTACTATGATAAGAAATTCGGACTTAATCTCAAGGTAATCGAGAACAAAGTATAATTTTATTCTGATTATGACACTGACACACTGCCCACTGAGCTAAGAGGACAGGCTTAAAGTATAATTTTAAAACAAGGATTCTGAATCTTAATCTAAGAAACAATGTTTTAGCAAATGGGACAATTCCAGCACGATCCTGAGTCCCACTGGGTTGTATTTGGCGTCTTGTCAGGACCTTCACGTTGTTAATGAATTAGCAGTCATTTAAAGAAAAAGGCAATTATTAGAATTACATGAGTATTTTAGTAAGTTTATGTGCAAAAAATACAAACCATTCTGTATACCAATAACAAACACTATTCCTCACATCTCCGTTCTTTCCTTGCCTTTGTAGGACAAGTGGGCATTCCAGAGAATGTCTACATGACCAGCTGTTCATCTTCTTAACAGAATGCCATTCAACTCATTTGCAACTGATACTTCCTTTAAGTGTGTAATTCAGAGTTCCTGAGGGCAGGTGTATTTGGGAAAGTCATTTCATATGGAAAAATGATACAACACAAGCTCGACTGCATAAAAAATAAGATGTAATCTGGAAGCCCAAGCCCTTTTCTTAGGAGAAACTCAATATATTTAGTGTTATCTGACCTGCAGTTTACCAAAATTCAACAAATGTGTTCTATATGAATTACTTCAGAATGTTTGAACAAGTACAATTTTCAAAAGCACTTATTTTAACTAGAGACTTTAAAACTCAGAATTTCCTGTTGGGTATTTCATGATTTGGTGACTTTGTTACCAGCTCAGAAGTACAATGTGTTCTTCCTGACCACAGTGCTTTGATTATTGGATCAGGATCTCAGGTTATAGGAATCTTATAGATCGATGAGAGTTTTTATTTCAACAGTCACCACCAACTCACAAAAAAAAAGGTCGTATTGGCAATGAAATAAATCCACACAGAGAAGAAGTATTCCAACTCATGAAAGAACTAAAGAGGGAGCCCTGGCTGGTGTAGCTCAGTGGATTGAGCGCGGGCCTGCGAACCACGCGATCGCGGTTTGATTCCCAGTCAGGGCACATACCAGGGTTGCAGGCCGGTTCCCTGCAGGCCAGTTCCCAGCAGGGGACGCACAAAAGGCAACCATACATTGATGTTTCTCTCCCTCTCTCCTTCCCCCCTTCCCCTCTGAAGATAAATAAATAATAAAATATTTAAAAAAAAAAAAGAACTAAAGAGGGGAATGCAGGTGGGAAAGGGTGTGCAGGGTGGAGGGGAGTGAATGGGGGGGAATGGGACAACTGTAACAGCATAATCAATGCAATATATTTTTTAAAGAATTATAGGAAATAACCATTTCCAAAGACACACTACAAGTTCAGCTGCACATATGAAATTCTACAAAACTCACTTAAAAGTTACTAAAATTTAGAAAGCTAGCTAACAAAATCATTGCCTTGGTAAACAAATTTGAAATAGCTAATTCAAATTATATATTACAGCTGGCTGTACCAAGTTGCCTATCTGTACCATAGGTAGCATTTGGCACAGTTGATGCTTTTCTTTCTCCTCTTGTATACAGTTCTTCATTTGGCTTCAAGGACATTACCCTGAGTTTTCCTTCCACTTCCCTGGTCCCTGTCTCAGTCACGTCTACAGGATCCTTTTCTTCCTCCCAGTCTTTTAGAGTACTCCCTGAGCTCAGTCCTTGTTTCTCTATCCCTATTCACCTATACTCACTCCTTTACTGATCTTGTCTAGTCTCATCATTTTCAATGACATCTGTATGCCAAAGGCTTCCAAATTAATATCTGCTTGCGGCCAAAGAATAAAACAAAGAGCACCAAAGTTAAAAAAAAAAAAAGAACAAAACCTGATACTAACACTCCAGCAAGAAAAAACATACTAGTGGAGACATTCACTGAGTAGATCACTAGGAGAAAATGTCTGAGGGAATTCATAGAAAGCAGGGTTCAGAGCGTTTGCTAATTTAAAAAGTTAAAGAAAAATAATGCTCCAGATAAGATGGAGTCCATCAGTTTATATATGATGGGATCAAATTTTTCTGGATGGAATTCGTTCACTAAGAGTGGAATCCCTTCAAGTTAGTGTTGTTTTTTAAACATCTTTGGAGTGGTTATAGTGAAGACAGCCTTCAGTCTTGTTTGATATATTCCAGGCCAGTATTACTATAAATTGAAAATTTCCCTTTATCCTTCTCTATAGTACTATTTGGATGTCTAATAGAGAACAAATAATCTGTGCTCCCAAGCTTATCTCCTCACCCTGATCTCCACCTGCAGCCCCCTTCTCAGTTGATGGCAATACCATCCGTACAGAGGTTCAGAGGTTCAGGCCAAAACCCTTGGAGGTGATACTGCCCTTGAAACAAGCTGACAGGCCCTTACCCAGAGCCCTGGGCTTTAGATCAGTCAAAATGGCATGCCTACCTGGAGTCCACTCATTCAGAACTCCAAATACCCTGCCTGAATGGCTTCCACAGTTCCAGACTATGCATTATGTCACCAGTGTGGGCACTGCCATAGAAGAAGGGTAAATTCTGAACGTGCAGGCCAGGATGTCCACACAATGTGCAGGAGGCCTGGAGCCACACAATTCAGAGCCAGGGACAGGAAGAGAAGGGAGGTGGGACATGGCTGAGGACCAGCTCTGCTTGCAAATAATGTTCTGTCACTGGAATTTAAGAACCATGAGAGGTACTCATGAAGGTGCATTTGCCAAGATAGGAGCACTGAATGTATTTTCATTTAACAAACTTTTAATTAACCATTGATGCATGCCCATGTGCTCTTGACCCTGGATAGCAGTTGTTTGGGAGCACACTTGCCTTGCAGCTCTTTTACTCATTTCTCTTAATACTCAACCCACAAATTGCCAAAAAATCCTGGTTAAATCTGAAAACTACATGTATATTTCATCTATTTTCTTCTTCACCACCCTGATCCAAACCATCGCTCTCTCCTCCTGAATCACTGCAACAAGCTCCTAACTTTGTTGTCTTATGATCTATTTTTAACCCAGCAGTCAGGGTCATCCTGATCACTTTCTTCAGGTCTTTGCTCAAATGTCCTCTCAAGGAAGCCTGTCCTCATCATTCTAAAAGTTGCAAACCTCCAAATCTCCTTAATTTCCCCCATGGCTTGTGTTACCTCCTAACACGCTACTGACTTATTATGCCCTTTGCTTATTTCTGAGGGTACTATAGAATGTACCCTCATAGAGAGGGCAAAGATCATTGTTTTGATGTATCCCAGTCACCTAGTACACTTCTTGGTACATGGTAGGAACTCAGCATATGTAGAAAATTTAAATGTAATCAGAAGCCCTGACATGAAAAGAAAATCAATGTGTTTAAACATTTCTTGAGACTTTTATATAACACATCCTACTTCAAAATTTTTTCAAACTGTAACACTTCATGATAAAACTTCCAAAACTTGCCATACCATTACATATTTGGCATTATTTTTTAAGTGGACTAGTAGTTAAATGGATTAACTCCCACATATGCTAGGCCTCTGTGAATTTACATACTACTTATTCTGTAGATGCTATCTGAAATAAGTCCTGCAAACCTTTTTTCAAAGCCACATGCAATTGAATATTGGTATTTTTTACTTTAAAAATTTTTATTCATTATGCTATTACAGTTGTCCTAATTTTTCCCTTTACCCCCTTTACCTAGCACCCCCAAGTCCC